GACCTGGCACAGGTGTTTAGGGTCATTCTGAGTGCTCTGTGGAGAATGGCCAGCAGGAAGCAAGGTGGCCTGGTCTGGGTACAAGTGGAGAGGTGGTGGGACAGACAGCAGTAGGCAACTTGCGTGTGCTATGGGGTGGGTTAGGGAGGAGGGGGTCCAGGGAAGAGAGGAGAAAGGAAGGGGGTGAGGACACGGAGGAGAGGGGAAGGGAGGATAACAGAGAGGAGGGAGGTCGGGGGGGCAGAAAGGAGGAGGGTAGGAGGGAAGGTGCTGCAGGGAGAGGAGGAGGGAAGAGGGTAGGGGCTGGAAAGGGGGCTGGGAGGAGGGGGGCAGGGAGAGGAAACCTTCGCTGCTCTCTCTCAGGCGCTGGGCTCCAGCAGGGTATGACATAGGGGACCTCCGTGGGGGGTACAGGGGAGGGTGAATCCAGACCCACCTTGTGGACCTTGCAGGTCACTGGACTTTTCTGGGTCTGTTTCCTTATCTGTTAAATGGATACGACACAGACCGACGGGCAGGAGGTGAAACCTGTTGGGGGACCCGCGTCCCAGGGACCTGTGGATGGCCCTTCGTGTGGCCGTCTGTGGCCTGCAGCCTACCACCCTTTAAGGCCTCTGGGCTGCCTCTCTCCCTCCTCCCTCCTCCCGCTCTGCTCAGGGCTCCTCCTCCTGAAGTTTCTTCTTGGCGTCCTTGGCCTCTGCTGGAGACACCTGAGCACCGATGACCCGGCGGTAGGGCCTCATGGGGGGAGGGGGGAGGGGAGAGCGCGCCTCCCTCGTGAGCCCGCGTTCTCCAGCCGTCTGCGTTCCGTCTCCCAACAGGTGCAGAAGGTCATGCCCAACGACACCTTCTACTTCTCCATCCTGCGAGACCCCGTCTTCCAGCTGGAGTCCTCCTTCATCTACTACAAGACCTTCGCGCCCGCCTTCCGCAACGTGAGCAGCCTGAATGCCTTCCTGGAAGGGCCAAGCCGCTTCTACAACAACAGCCGCAGCCTGCGCAACGTGTACGCCCGGAACAACATGTGGTTCGACTTCGGCTTCGACCACAACGCGCCGGCGGAGGAGGCCTACGTGCGCGCGCGCATCGCCGACGTGGAGCGGCAATTCCAGCTGGTGCTCATCGCCGAGCACTTCGACGAGTCCAGGTGCTGCTGCGCCGCCGCCTGCGCTGGC